GCAAATGCAATATAGAAAATATATGGGAGTACAAATATCTGAATCGAGCACAATAAAGAAAACATGCATTTATATTATAAATGTACACATATATATGTACATACTTATACACTTACATAACATGTGTATACACACACAAACACAAAACAAATAAATAAAGCAAACATGCATAAAGATGTTTAGAAAAAAAATTACTAATAAAAGAAAATGAAATTCGGGTTACAAGTATGTATACATATGTATGTGTGTGTGTGTGTCAGAAAATGAAATTCGGGTTACAGGTGTGTGTGTGTGTGTGTGTGTGTGTGTGTGTAGAGAGAGAGAGAGAGAGAGAGAGAGAGAGAGAGAGAGAGAGAGAGAGAGAGAGATACCTTTGCAAGAACACTTCCAAGAAACTCAAAAAATTGAAGATGTTGCTCATGCACAAGTCCTGATCCCGGGTTAGGATATAGAAGGTGATCAACGGTTTCCTGCATAAGAAGTAAATACAAAACCAATGCAAAAATAGTTGGAAAAACGATAGAATAAATAATACATAAATCAAAGTTCTTCCCAACACATGATCACTTCAAGAAGATCAAGTACTCCATACTTACTAGCATGATCATAATCCGAAAAAACAACAATAAGAAACACTCCAGAAAAAGCCACATCATGACCGACTAAAAAATACATGGAATAACAACCTTAAATAGTCCATATTGCACATCAAATGCAGCATGAGTAACATTCTCCATGAAATCCTTGAAGATTCCTCCCCCATCAATTCCAGCCTCCTCTACACCAAATTCATTGACAAAGGAGACTCGAATCTGACAACATCAAATATCTATTACGGCTAGTAGAGAAAGGTTGAAACAAAGTACTTTAATAATAATGGAATCCTACAATATTAAAGAAAGAGATGATGAATTCAATTTCACATTGAAGATAAATATATACCGAGCCATGAAGATCGTCTTCTGATAGCCTACTCAACTGATTAAAAGCATCTTCAAGGATATGATCTCTTCGAATTTTGAACCGATGTCTAGTAAACGCAGGATGACCTCCATCTGTTTGCCTCGAAGCTGCTAACTGTGACTGATGCATGAAAATCCAATTCAGAATAAACAACATGCTGAAAACATGTGCACAAGATGATCTGAATTTTACTGAGTGAATTATTCATTTCAAGAAAAATGTTAGTAGAACAATTACATTTCTACACAATGTATGTGTGTGTGCGTGCGTGCAATTTCTGCAGAACATGTATGCATGCGCATGTGCGCACGCTGGATTCACAGGCCAACTAGATAGTAAAACAAGCAATGTGTCAATTACTCACAGTGAATACTTTAACCCTGCTTGTAAATGGCACCAAAAAGGGAGCTTGCTTCAATATTTCAAATGCTTTTGTGTTTTCAAGTAAAGCCTACATGAAAAGGGACAGATGAGACAAACAAAACACATGAGGGAGGAGGGCAATGTATTGCTGAAGTTGTTTACCTGAGAAATAAATGTTTCGCTTGTAGCTTCCTGAGCATGGAAGTCACTAGCTGGAGTGAATGACCTTCTGTTATTCCAATCTTGCAACTGCACAATAAGTATGAACAACAGAATAAAATTATGTACCCTCGCAACACTATAGGACTGCCAACTTAAATAGAACAGTGCCAACGAAATGATTGTGCACCCACCTGAGTCTAAGGTCAACACAACGTTTTTTAATTATTTCTTTTTTTTCTTTTTTTTTTTGGGCTGCTCTTCTTTTAATGTTTCTATGTGTGCGAATCAATGCATTCTACATACTTTAAAGCATATGCTGCACTGCTACCAGAATTTGTATGCACTGGATGCTCCTCCGCTTTGTGTGTGTGCCCGTGTGCGTGTCTTTATGCATGTGAAATAATCCCTCCGAATGCTGTACAATTATGATGATAGTTCGTAAATGTGAACAATCATTGCATACAAATGCATAGTGGTTCTTTTAGGGTGAATTTTACTGAAACAATTCCCCTAACCAATTAAGGGACCATAATCTTTCCTAGCTCATAGAAATATGAATCTAGATTATAGATGATTGCTGTGCACATAACCGCGCTTAATCATTTGAACTAATGAGACCCTGCCATGTGTATTTCCAACTTGGCAACCATGCTGACTAGTCATCGCTTCCCATGTGGGACCATAATGAAAAGAGTCAATTCAAAAGTCAACTCTAGATCTCTGTGTCGTCAGTCCGACCAAAGGCGGTGATTAGTTGCGTATAGCAAGCTTAGTTCAGCCCAGCCAATGGCACGACTCCAGCTTGAGCTCGTCGCAAAGAGGCACACATACTCTTAAAGATGATTACATCAAATCATATGATATCTTTAACACCTGTGTTAAAAGATATCAATTGATAACAAATCTATTTAATGACAGCTGCCATAACTGCTTGAATCAACCCTGATATGCGCATCATAGGAGCCTTCCTCGGCCAATGAGGTCAAGACGCATGGACTTTCTTGCTGCCCAAGAAAAATTTTCATAACTACCTTGGCCAATAGGAGGGTGGCATGCGTAATTTGTTTATACCTGATTTGCCCATGCAAATCTCTGTAAATAAAGCATCTGATGCACAGGTAAGGGAATTCACGATCCTACTCTAAAATCCCTAGCCTAAATTTCCTTTGTTTTAGTCTTCTTCACCAAAAGGCTACCTCAGGCATCGGAGGGGCGGCGGTGAACAACCACTGTCATCAATGTGACGCTTTCAAATTTTTCTCAGCATAAACAATAATAAATGTGTCTTTCTTCGCTAATGCTCCCGAAAGGTTGTTTTCTATACCCAGTGGGTACACGGATATCTGCAGGAAGTTAATTTTAAAAGATGACACTTGCTATAAGAAGAACATAAGTAGAAAACCACATATCTAAGTTCTTTTTCCAAAAAGTGAGGTTAGGAGCATAAGGTTCCACTAGAGAGATAAACCAAATTTTGTCACTGGTTGCCCACCTGACGCAAACCCCAAGTCCCTGCCGAATCCCAGCCAGTGAGTTTTGGGGAAAGCAAGAAACCTGCAATAAATCCTAGAAAGCACATATCAGGTAGGAAAATACCTTATTAGGCATGCAGTTGAAATTCATGCAACGTCCACAACAGTTCTCCTAAACCAAGAATGACAATGGACTACTGCTTGAATCAACCCTGTTACGCGCGTCGTAGGAGCCTTCCTCGGCCAATGATGTCAAGATGCGTGGACTTTCTTGTTGCCCAAGAAAAACTTTCATAACTACCTTGGCCAATAGGAGGGTGGCATGCGTAATTTATTTATACCTGATTTGCCCATGCAAATCTCTGTAAATAAAACATCTGATTCACAGGTAAGGGGATCCACGATGCTACTCTAAAATTCCTAGCCTAAATTTCCTTTGTTTACATCTTCTTCACCAAAAGGCTACCTCAGGCATCGGGGGGGCGGCGGTGAACAACCACTGTCGTCAATGTGACGCTTTTTCAGTCTTATTCTCAGGCAACCTACAATCACAGATCATCACCAATTTGGAGAGTCGATCGAGGGGGCCCAAAGCTCTGAATCCAATCTCAAGGATTCATCGATCCAAATTTTTCTCAGCATAAACAATAATAAATGTGTCTTTCTTCGCTAATGCTCCCGAAAGGTTGTTTTCTATACCCAGTGGGTACAAGGATATTTGTATTAAGTTAATTTTACAAGATGACACTTGCTATAAAAAGAACACAAGTAGAAAACCACATATCTAAGTTCTTTTTCCAAAAGTGAGGTTATGGAGCATAAGGTTTCACCAGAGAGATAAACCAAATTATGTCACTGGTTGCCCACCTGATGCAAAACCCGAGTCCATGCCTAATCCCAGCCAGTGAGTTTTGGGCAAAGTGAGAAACTTGCAATAAATCCGAGGAAGCACATATCAGGCAGGAAAATAACTTATTAGGCATGCAGTTGAAATTCATGCAACGTCCACAACAGTTCACCTAAACCAAGAATGACACTGGACTAGTTCTCATATAAATTTAGTTATAACGATGCTCAGTTTTGTCAAATGGAAGCCATGCAAAAAAAACAGATAAAATGAAATTGGAGTCTAATATAACTGAAACATACAACAGCTGGAACTTTCAGAATTAAGAACATATAAAGAAAAGTTTGCAACAGGAATTACCTGGCTCAACAATTCAGATATAACAATCCTCGCTCTATCTCTAATCACATCCACTGTAAGCTTCTTATGACCAGAGAGATCTGAAACGGATCTTTGAGAAAGTGGAGTGTTTCCAGGTATTATCCACAGGAGCTGCCACAGGGCCTGCGCAAAGAAAGACGCATGTCTAGATATCAGTATAAACAATTGCTATATTATGTTATTTCAACAGTTAGCATGTGTAATTGAAAAATAAACTTCAAATGAAACAAGAGAAGTCAATCTTAACGTAGAGTAAATCATTAAATATACCTGCTTTAGAATGACAACTAATAGTTTGATGTCCTTTATTGAGAGTGGTTTATGCTGCTCATAGAACTCCTCACTATCTATGATCATAAGCATATGCCTGACAGAACACAGAATTATATTTCTTTCTTAGCACCATGTTTGCACTATTCAGTCATACCAAACAACACATGCAGGTGTCATGCTTAATGCAACCAATCTAGAGTGACCATGAACCCTTACTTGTATACAGGACAGAAAACAGCCAGAGGTAATAACCAACCCAGACCATCTCCAGGTATATGTGCTGTGAACTTGGAGGCAGGCCATGTTCGATTCTCCTGGCATCTCTTTATAAAATTCCAAAGTGCAGGAACAAGCTCTGTTCTATAAGCTAGTCCAGTCATGATGCGCTCAATGCGCAGTGTGCTGAACATGACATGAAGGAAAGCACAAATAGCACCGATAGCTTCCACCTCTTCACGTGGTTGCACATTTTTATCTAGATTATCGGTTAGTGATGTACATCTGAACAAAGTATTCACCTGTTGAGGATGAATCCTTAAGCTCCTGCCAAAATGTTTCAAAAAAAAAGTCCAATAGAAGAATATTGGCACAAGGTATACGCACTAAATTCTGAAGAAGTCGCGGATCAACTGCATCTGATATCTGCCTTCTTAAATCCACGTCCAGGGTTTCTTTGTAGTCCTCATCCATAGCATCTTCACTTTTAGTATGATCTGTGATATCAGATGCAGCTATCTCAGGAAGCAAGAAAGCAAAAGTCCATCAACTAAAAGCTAAAATAAGCTAACAGTAAAGATGTGACAGCTGCAAAAAAAAGTTTCAATAAGTGCCACAAGATAACCATTCAGACATATACTGCTAGAATCGGTTGTTACATACTTACATTAGGCAGGAGCTAACATGAGAGCCGCACAAGTGAGTAGTATCATCAGTTTGCTTCGGTCCAAATTTAGTTATGGTTCTTTAAATACACTCTCAACACATAAGCATTAAAATGAGTTTTCATCCATTTATAGTCAGATTTGTCAATTCACGTTTTTAGAATTTAAATGATTTTTACTAAATACAGTACTGAAACATAATCTTCCAATAACATATATTGGATTAAAATTATAAAGATGCCAATTAGAAAATGCAGGAGCTGTAGAGTGAGCTACAACTCCTTTATTTTATTTTATTTTCATTTTCCTTGACTTCAAGCTTCTGACAAATGATCCTTCTCTGATTACTTCAACAAAGACGAGGAACTAGGAAACATTCCAGATACATTTATTAATTAGATGTACATTTTCTTATTGCTGAGGAGGGTGGATCCCAGCTCCTCAATTCTCTTACACAAGTCTCACATCAGGGGTGGTTTGAATAAAAAAAATTGATATTTATGCACTGGCATGGGATGGACTTCTTCCCCTAGTGTTACTTGGATATACATAAGCTCCGATCAAACAACTTTAGAATCAGAAGGAAATAATTGATTGGCTTGAGTAGAATCTGCAATCTAAAATAAAGATAAATATTTCATTTTCATTGCCATATAGGATGCCAAGGAGCATCACCAGAAATTTTGATCAGTTAACGCATATAGAAGCAGCTAGATAGTAGTTTATAACAAAGCTTCAAACACTGGATAACAATGATTTTGTAAAATGGGTACCGAAAGACCAAGTGTAATACATAAAATTTGGATGGATTATCAATGATATAGGTTAGTTGTGGATAGAAGAAAAGAAATATATCATTTTAAAGAATCCAACCCGTGCATGAGTCCCAATGAATCGCACATCAATAAGATTGCAGTCTTTGCAGATATTTACTGTAACAAATCAAACACAACGAAATCTCATGGACTTCCAACACTCAAGTGAATATATTATTATGGTCAAAAACATCAAAAAAGTGATATCTTGTGTTTTCTGTAAGAATATCAGCATTAGCTCAACAACATTAAAAGTTAAAAAACAATATTGGATGATGTGAACCTCATTCTGCCTGAATGCAATCAATTAATATCATATAAGATACTAGTAACATTAAATGCTGTTGTCCTTTCGATCCAAAGTCCTTAAATAAAGGGATAAGAAAACTAAAAAACCCAAGTCATCTCAGAGAAAAGGTTGCGCTTGCGAATTGCTGTAAATGAACGACATGTTCAACCAGGTAGCTCTCGACATCCTTTCCGACTAGATTCCAACACAAACAATTTTTTTCATGAACATTATTTGATAAAACTCCAATAGGTACAATCATTGGACTCTCAAATCATAATTTCATTCTGAATCAAATGTTTTAGGAAATGAGAGTGGTGAGGTTGATATGTTCTTGCATTACATAATACATACACAACTACAGTCTACAGCAAGTCAACCATAACTCAAAAATATCAGTACCGTGAAATTCCAACATCTTCTGAAGAAAGATATGTGTATATAGTATTTCATGAATTACTAATTAGATATAATCAAAATTTCATGACAAACATGATCAATTGACAATTTCAAGTCAAAGGTTAAGCAAAAAAGGGCACAGAGACAAATCCCTGCATTGGATATGAGGAGAGGATGGAAAATGGCTTGTATCTTCCAGGCAAACCAGATAAGAATAAATTTGTGGTGTTTAATGTTTGTGAATACTTGTTTTTAAACTTACAAATTCAGTCATAACAACTAGTATGTAAAAAAAAAGTGAAATAAAGACAAGACCAAGTGGTGTTTTTCATGGCAGGAAATGAACAAATCCTTACTTTCTCCAGCTGGCAGCAAGGTAGGCAATGCCTCCAGTAAAAATGTTGAGACAGCTACAAAATCCATGGCCTATGTGGATAAGAGGTTTATAAGCAATTGGTTAGTATACAAATTTCTGAGGCTAGATTGGAAAAGATCATTACTATATAAAGACAGCTCCCTATAAACATAGAGAATGGTTTTTGACAAAGTATAAAACCCAACACAAGCCTACAACAAAGAGAGAATATTTAAAAATCAAAGTTTATAAATCGATGAAGATGATTTTAGGAAACATGGATATGGAAATACATATGGAACTATGGAAGTGTTATCATGATTCATGCATCAAGAAAAAGGGGTAAGTCTATATACGCTTTGTTACAGATGTTACATCATGAATACTTCAAAACATTGATAAAGCACCCTTCCTTCAAGGGGGGAAAACAAAATGAATGCATAAAAGCAGAGACAACATTCAAAAACTATGAGAGAAGCAATTAGAAAAAGAGATATTTTAATGTACAATTCGTCAAAACAAATGGCCAGTGTGTCACTCAACATAATAACAAGAGAAACAAGAGAGCAGACATTTTCCATATCACAATACAGCATACACAAGAACTTACAGCACAAATTGACCAGATCGAAATTATTCTCCTGAAACAAAAAATGTGCCCAGTTGCTCGATAGTTAAACAAGAAAAAAATCAAGCAGAAACCCCTCCATACCGTCGCAAAAGTGCAATTAGGTTCAGACAAAGCAACTCCAGCAGCTTCCAGCAAATTCCCAAGCAGGCAGGCATAACCCGGGAGGTCGTGAAAGTCAACAGGAAAGATGTTAACATGACTAGGCAAATAAAATGCCAGCTGATGAATGTAATGCTTGACCAGTCCCTTGGAAAAGAAAACCTGAAAGAAAGAAAAAACAAAAGACTTGGTAAATATACTATGCATAATAGGAGAATACAGGCTACACATATTATGTAATGCTTACCGCACTGCCATTCAAAGAAGGAATTATCTAAAATCTACCTTGAAGAAACCATGCACACACACAAGTAGACATGCACATATTGATGCATATTTTCTTGTAAATGAATATTGTGCATGTGTATAGCCATATTCCTACGGACCGACATATAAATCCATATTTTACTATCGTGGATTTTTGCATCCTCAACAAATAAGAAAACAAAAATTTTCTACCTGGAAAATAAAGGATACACAACCACAGCATCTAAAATAATCACTATCAACTGAGCAACACACAGAATGGGATATGCATAGGTGACGAGGAAGTCTGAAGAATATTTAATAATGTTAACATATTAACTTGGGTAGGGGGTTCACTGTTACCACACTAGTCTTTAGGGGTTGCTATGGACACTTTGGATAGTTCCATAGTTTTCGATAAAAAAACTGATTTTTCTTTCATATTGAAAAAAAAGATAGTCAAAACCTTCTAAAGTCCTAAATTTAAACTAAAAAAATGTGACAGGACATTAAGTATTTTTTTCATAAGGTGAAGCTCATACTAAATCTTGAATTTTAACTTATTTGGGAATGTTTAGCCCAACTCCTCTCCCTTCAGCAAGGCTTTGCTATTTACTAGATTTTCAGAATTTAACAAGCAAATTTTATTATACATAATCAAGACAGCCGGGTTTATGGTCCTCCAGTTATATTTTTTAACTATTTTTTATTTACTAAACCCTACAGAAAAAATGAACTTCCATAATTCTACTCAATTTTCCTTATAAGTAATATGTTTGGATGTGAGACTTGCCTTTCGATTTTAAATAAAAAGAACTAAATTTGAAAACTCAAATTCAAAAGGTAGATGTTTTATTATGGATTATTATAATGCTTATCCACTATAAATTTAAAGTTGCCAGCAGACCCCTAAAACAAGGACTTTAGGTCTTTAAATTATGGTCAAGGGCTTGAATCCCAATCAATAAACCCATACAATAGACATAGACTACTCCTGCTCTTTGGTTATCCATCTAGTCTGTTTGACCCATAGACAAAACAATCCAACTGCATTTGTGTTTTTGTTGATAGGCACTTTAAATTATGGATATCAACTTGAGTATGACGGGTCTCAATTTCAGTGTCCTATAGATGACATGATTTGTTGCCAGACTTTCTTGAAGTAGTGGCTTGGTAGTGATATGACCACTTCCCATCCACTCATTTAATGGGTGGGTAATCAAGCGGGGACCATTTTTAAATGTGTGGATGAGAAACTTCCATGTCACTACGAAGCACCAACTTCATGCTTGGTACCCTCCTTCCCTCTCCCTCCCCTCCCTTTCTGTGCGCGGGCGAGGGCGGGCACGCGTGCATACATGTGTGTATCATGTATGTGTAAACACAGTTGGTGGTTACGAACCACATCATTATTCAACTACTTTGATTATCATCATAAAGTGAGAATACAAAATTAGTAATATATATTATTCAGTATAGATAGCTCTAAGAAAGATTACCTCTCTGAAGTGTGGAAGATGGCGCCAAAAAAAAGGAACAGAAAGCAGCTGAGATGAGAAACTCCACTGCAGATCTACACTCGAGTAACTCGAGCTGTTACATGGATGTTGAGCAGGATGGGAAGAGATGAGGATAAGAAAATGCTCAAAAGAAGATATGCTTGCATTAGCTGCCGGTGTCTTAGCGTTCTGCTGCATGACCAATATTTCCGTAAGACAAAAAGAATAACAGCATATGTGATTTGGAGCATTGAGTGCTTAAACAGAGAACAACCAGAGAAGATATTAAGTGAGCAAATATATTTAGAAAAGAGACATCTGGTAGTCATTCTTGAAAAATTATAGCACATATATCTTGTGAATACAATACACATGTGACAATATATATACTCGGAAAAAGTACCAGTCCAGTGAGAAGGATGCCCCGAAACATAGAGAAAACTCTTCTCTTCACCAGATGATCCACAACTTTACAAACCCATGGAAGATCAGGATTGCTCAGGGAAGCAGCTGTCTCAAGCAAGATGACAGTTGGCATACTAGAGTTTTTGGCTGGCATCAAAAGCTGACTCTTCAGGCGATCCCTATGCAAAGATTATTTTTCCAAATAAGAGCAGTACGAAAAATAAACAAACAAACAAATGTGATATTGCCACCAAAAAAGGGTGCCGTAATTGAAGCCAGTACAAGAGCAACTTGAAGAAATCCCACATGAGAAGTAAATTGCTACTATGAGAAGAAACCTTGAAAAATAAAACTTTTGATACAAAAACCTCAGTATTCACACATAAAATAATCAATAACCAAGAAACAAAGAACAACTGAAAAGGTCCAAAGAAGCAAAAATAATCACATATTTTGAACATGTGATTGCTGATTATCCTGTCCCTGAAAGATTGTCCCCTAATATATCGTTAGATTAGCATTCTTTGTTCTCTTTGATTTTGTCTACTTCAGTATAACTAAAAGGTGCAACTTTTCCGTTCTATGAATAAGAAAGTTTCAACAGATACTAATACCAACCACTTCTTTCTTTAGCTGATTAGTCTCTTGCTTACTAATGTAATGTCTTTTTCTTCTGAATTACAAGCAGTTACTGTGAATGATGACTAGTATAAGATTCATAATAATAATCAACCCAAGGTTGTTGAGCTTCTAAATCCATATGGAGGCTTTATTCATGTCCAGAAGGGGATTTAGACTAAATGCCAGTAATCAACTAAGCAAATTGCAAAAAGAGCTAGAAGAATAGTCAAAGTACCATCATGTGTTTACATAATTCAAAGGTTTATGATCACAATGAAATGTATCTGAAGATTTTTTTTCATGAACTAGAGCGACAAATAAAGAGAAAAGGACTGTAACTTTCAAAGATAAAAAGATGAATTACAACTAAAAATGTTGAGAACGATATCATAGACTTGAAAGTTCCATGCAAAAAGTCTTCTTTCATTTTGTTGTATGCAGATTGAGCAACTGCCAGTTCAGGCGGATTCACCTAGACATACTACAAATAAGTAATAATTGAAATGAAGACACGAGAAAGAATTGAGCCATTCAATGTTAGCTTAAAAAATTGCCTTCCACGTAAAGGAAAATAATGGAGAACGTAGTAAATATAATAAAGAAAGGTACCAAAGATTTTGTCTAGGATTTGGCAAACAAACTCAACTGTGTCTTGCAGAACAATACTCCATTTAAAATATACTGGTTAGAAAAAGAAAGATACAGCCTTGCTACGGTGACACAATAAGATATATAGCTTGTGACAAAGTGATTTGAATGATCCGAAAAACAAAAACATAGTTTATATACAAACTTTTTATAGTACCCTTCAGAGCTTATGTAAAAAGACATATGCTTTTGTTCTATTAATGAAGTTCTCTTTTATGCCGTGAGCCATGTTTTATAACTAAATTTATCTTTAATTCACTTTTTCTTTTCAACAGCTTCAATGATGGTTTTGCATGATTGAATAATGATTTACCTTTGTTTTTTAAGCTCATGTCTCAGATAGAACTATATTAGGATTCTGGGAATAGCTCAAATAGAAGAACCTGAAGGCTCAAGCATAAGCAGATTTGAAATCTTATCCAGAGATATAAGGCAAGATGAGTCTTTTAGCTTTAACAAAAGAAAGAGAAAACTCACAAATATTGCTAATGATCTATGAAGCACCGACACGCGAAACTTGGACCCGAGTCCGTGTCCGACGCGTGTCGGACGCGAACACGCGTTCGACACGCGTCAGACACACGGTCAACGCCCCCGACACGCGCCCGACTCGTTCCCGACACGGATGGGATTCGCGAACAAAAAAGAAAAACCCGAAACCCAAACCCTAATTTCTTCACTTACCAAAGTCCCGACGCCGCCACAATCCATTCATCTCTCTCTCGAGATCGGCTCCCCCCCCCCCCCCTCAGCTTGTCCTTGTCCTCATCAGCTCGTCGCTACTAGGTCAGTCTCTCTCTCGATCTCTCGATCTCTTCGTCTCTCTCGATCTCTTCGTCTCTCTCTGGATCTCTTCGCCTCTCTCTTTGAATCTGTCTCTCTTTCTCTCTCTAAATATACATATGAAGATTTTACTGTTTTCACGTGAATTTACTGTTAATTTAATTAGGGTTCCATTTAATTAGGGTTATTGTTACATTTTAATTTATTGTTTTCTGTTAATTTACTGTTAATTAATTAGGGTTCCATTAATTTATTGTTAATTAATTAGGGTTCTATTTTTTTAATTTATAATTAATTAGGATTTTGGTTACTATTTTGCTATTGTTAATTTTTTAATTTACTGTTATTGCTATTGTACTTTAGAGAAATGGAACAAGAAGGGAGTTCTAGTGGCAGTGGAGTACAAGATGATAAATGTCCGCTTTGAAAATATGTTATCAAATTGGAGAAAATGGGGGGAACGGTAGGAGGAAATTGGAGATGGAGATGTAATTATTGCAGATGAGTTTATCGGTTTACACTCAAGAGTTAAAAATCACCTCTTGAGGATAAGCGAGACTAGAATTAAGATGTGTTCCAAGTCAACACCCAAAAACCTAAGGGAGTTTCAAATGACGTTAGATCAAGCGGAGGCGATGTTGAGGGCTTCTAGGCCTAAGACTTTATTTTTGCCTACATCTTTGACTGTAAGTACGACCGGTGTAAGTGCAAGTGCAAGCATGCTGAATCGTGCAAGTGAATCTAAGAGGAGGGGGCTTAATACCGTGGAACAAGCATTCAACATGGGAGCAATGGAGGAATTGGATGCATTGATTGGTAGGATGTTCTTCATCGAGGGATTGTCCTTCAACTTGACAAGGAATCCATATTATGCTAAGACTTTTACATATGCCGCAAGCAATCCAATCTTCTGACTACAAGCCTCCCGGTTACAATTACATGAGGATCACTATCTTACAATGTGAGAAAAGTCACGTAGAGAGATTGATGGAGCTCATCAAGGGCACATGGCAACAGAAGGGGGTCTCCATTTGTAGTGATGGGTGGACGGATGCACAAAGGAGGCCCATCATCAATTTTATGGCGATATGTGAGGGTAAGCCAATGTTCTTGAATGTCGTGAATGTCGAGGGAGAAAAGAATAAATATTTTATCCAAGCAAAGCTAGAAAAGTGCATCACAGAGGTGGGACCGCAAAATATCATCCAAATCATAACCGATAATGCTTCAGCATGCAAGGCCGCGGGAGGGCTTGTGGAGGGCACAAGACCTCATATATTTTGGACTCCTTGTGTAGTCCATACACTCAATCTTACTATCAAGAATATTTGTGCGGCTAAGAACACGAAAGCAAATGTCGTGGCTTATGCACAATTACATTGGATTATAGAGATCTCCGATGATGCATTGCTTATGAAGAATTTTATCATGAACCACTCTATGCGGCTTGCCATGTTCAATGATTATTCCAAGATAAAGCTCCTATCGATTGCCAACACAAGATTTGCCTCGTGGATTATTATGTTGAAGAGGTTTAAGGTCGTCAAGAGAACCTTCAAAACATGGTCCTTAGCGATCGATGGAGCTTGTATAGAGAAGATGATGTGGGAAAAGCTCAATTTGTGAAAGAGAAAGTCCTCGATGATTTTTGGTAGGACAAGATAGATTTTTTTCTTAACTTCACTGACCCAATCTATGAAATGATAAGGGTCACCGACACCGATACACCGTGTCTTCATTTGGTGTGTGATATGTAGGATACAATGATTGAGAAGGTGAAGCAAGCTATTTATAGGCATGAGGGTAAAAGGGATAACGAGGAATCTCCTTTTTATGAGGTTATTCACAAGATCTTGGTGGATCGATGGAACAAGAGCAACACCTCGCTTCAGTGCTTGGCACACTCTTTAGTTCCAAGGTAATATTTCACATTTCACTCTTTAATGCGAATATTTCTATTAATCAATACCTTGTGGGCTAATTCATGTTATTAACGAACATAGGTATTATCATTCCACATGGCTCAATGAGAACATTAATCTGCAAACTACAAATCAAGATCTTGAGATCTCTACGGAAAGAGCAAAGTGCTTAAGAAGATACTATCCTAACCCCGATGAATGACGGATGGTGAACTTGGAATATGCTAAGTTTGCGGGGGTTTTGGAGGCTTTTAGTGATCCGGATTCTCTTTTCGATAGAGAACATATGGATCCAAAGTCATGGTGGCTTCTTTATGATCCAAATATTCCAAATTTACAAGCATTGGCCGTAAAGCTTCTAGGCTAACCTTGTTCCTCTTCTTGTTGTGAATGGAATTGGAGTACGTATGGTTTCATTCACTCCTTAAAAAGGAACAAGTTAACCCCGACACGTGCAGAGGATCTTGTTTATGTTCACACCAACATTCGCTTACTTTCGCGAAGTTCGAAAGAGTATATGGAAGGGGAATCAAGAATGTGGGGTATTGGTGGAGATGCCTTCGACTCATTTCAAGGTGCCGGTATTTTAGATGTTGCTGCCCTTTCTCTTGACGAGCCCACGATGGAGGCCGTTGTGTTTGAGGAGGATGAAAGAGTTAAGCCATAGAACGATCTTTTTGATGTTTTAACTTAAAAACTTTATTTTAAGATACGCTTTTGGTTGTAATTTTTATAATTTTGCAATGTTAGTAACTCAATATTTTGTAGCCATGGAACTAGTTGCAACTTGATCTTTATTTTCTTATAATTTTTATATGTTTGCAATGTTAAACTTGTTAGTAGCTTAGTATTTTGTGTTTGAGGATTACATTTTAGTTTGTTGTTGAATTTTATAAATTTATCTATATATAATAATATTAAAAAAATCTAGCCGTGTCATCGTGTCCTGTTTTTGGGTTTTGCCGTGTCCGTGTCGTGTCCGTGTCGCCGTATCTGTGTCTGTGTCCGTGCTTCATAGCCAAAGATTTAATGCCGTGTGTGTGCGCACGTGTTTGTGTATGATTTTCCTTTGCTTTACACCATCAAATAATATAATGAGGCATCTATTGGATTAATTGGTAACTGGAAGTTACCGGCTTTCCCACTGGTAATAGTCTCTTGTCACACCACATGGCTTTGCAAAATATCAACCAAAGCAACATTCTCATAAAGATCCGAAGGCACGAGAAAATATATGTGACAACTAAATTGTGTCCTAAATTAACAGATGACACCAAAATATGATATAGCTGTTACTTTAAAGATGATATGATTACCCTCTATCAACTTTTATAGTATAACAACTTGATTGAAAGGTCTAGTAGATCTAACATACCACACTTCAAAGAATCCTTCAGATTATAGTAGTTGCTCACTACACAAGTACACATAAAGAAAATAATAATAGTAACTTATACATAAGCTCTGATTTCACCAAAGCAAACCTGTGAAATTCTGGATTGACAGCATGGTGGAAGCCACTCTCACCTGTTATGATGAACTGCCTTCAGACAAAAATATACAAGCTTCTTAACTCTGATCTCCACCATGGAATGATTTGCATTGTAATCCGTGCCTGCAAAGAGGCTGACAATATTCCCTGTGTACGATCAACCCATGTCACTGATAATAATATTCTACGGTTAAGCAGAAGATACACAGGATGGCAAGTAATCAAACATAATATTGAAGGTCAAGGAAAAAGGTAGACATTGATAATATGGACATGGAAAGAAATGTGTAATAAATTAGTGAATAGATCAAAAATCAAATCACTGCATGCGAAAAATTCAGTTGCATGAGATGCATAACCATGCAATTGACAAACCAGCAAGACCATGCAAATTCATTTAAATAGTTCTTAATCTTAATTTTGAAAGAAGATGTCAAAGAAAAGCATGCATAGAAAGAAATAGACTGGCCAGATACAAAAGGCAGCTACCCAGATTAGGGTTTGCTAAACATAAAGTATTATCAGTTACAACTTATAACTTATAAGGCATTGTTCAGTGACCCTACCCATCCAGCCCTTACCTTGAAAAGAAAACATCCAATTAGATAAACGAATGGAATATTATCTAAGTACTTCATTAATATGACCAAGATGCAGAAACATAAAAATCATAAACAATCATTTCCTCACATGCTCAAAATTTCTTGCTACTATAATAATATACATTGCTCTGTAGCTCTAAATTTGTCATTGGCGTAAGAAGGCTCTTCAGGATCCTGGTAGTGGGTCCCCCAGCCGTACAGATTTTACATGCTCTCTTAATTTTAATCAAAATTTGAGATTATGAAAGTAATACGAAATGATTGAGGTCATCGGAGTACAGGTTTATTCCCCAACAAAACTAAATTTTTAGCAGAAGCAAACGTGCATAAAAAGGACCAAATACCTATATTTACAACCTATCAAAACATATCTTCTTTTGTGCCAGAAGAGTGTCTCCTAACACGATAATCCATACTCACTTTAATTGTAAAATAGAGCTTCCTAACTTACGGTTGATCCTCAATAGCCAAAATGGACACTCCATGAAATACTATGAATAATCATATACACTACTCAGAGTAGATCACAAGGATGGTTTGATAGGGGACATTGTTCAATGTTCATTAAAAAAAACTATGTTTAAACGGGCATGCATCTGAGACCTTGTATCATTGTCCGGCACTTATTTGCGTTAACGCTTACGAGATACTTGGTGAATACGCAGCCAGAGTGTCTAACACATGCGTGTAAGTCCTTGTTCCATAGTCTGGAGATATTTAGATTTTGAACAGTTAAGGTACGGGGTTTCATGGTTCATACGAATGGAGATTTACAGAAAGTTTCATTGTACGATAAGTTACCATGGAACTTGATCTTACATTATGCCCTATCCTAATTCTCTACATACACGTGGGTACCGAATATGTTCTCACCTCAATTAGAAATATGAGCTACCAAGATGTTGGAGGGGTGAGGTCTACCTGCTCCAATATGACTGTCTATGGGCTCACCGCTAGTCTATGTCTTGATAGCTCATTACTAAAATAAGTTACCATCTCATATTGTACGTACATATGTACCTACCTGTACGTACATACGTATCTACCTACCTACATACCTACTCTCTCCCTCTCTCTGTGTTCGCGCCCAGAACAAAATTGGTCCTTGGCATTGTGGTGGCCACTTCTCAACCACACATTTAAAGCCACTTGAAAATGGTTCTCACTTGATTACCAACTCATTAGATGAGTTGATGAGAAGTGATCATCTCACTACCAAAGAGATACACACACAGAGTTGAGCTAGAATCCATTTAAGAGAATAGGAGAAGTTGTCCACCCAACTTTTTACCCATTCATTTTTTTTTTCTTTGAGATTTGTGGATCCACTTAAGGCTTTCTTTGAGATGTGTGGAGTCACGTGTATCACATACCAAAACAAATCTTAAAGCAAAATGAATGGATAAAAAGTTGAATAGACAACTTCTCCCATCCACCTAAGTGGATTCTAGCTCGATTACATATGTGTGTGTCCTACACGATAGATCTATATCATAGGTTCTTTAAGGTTTTGTATATCCTTTTCTTGTATCCATAACTTGCCATTTTAATCATTGATGGAAAAATTCCCAACCTCATACCTAAATTTAGAGTCTCCAAAGAATCTTATTCTGCTCAAAGCTTCTACTTGAATTTATTCTCAAAACCTTTTTATTTGATTAGGAATTCTACTAATATTAACATTATTCTAAGTTCATATAGCATAAAAATAAGGGCAAACATTGTGGCTGTGTCAGCTGCCCAGTGAGTAAATGAAGACAGCTAAGAAGTTGTTCTCATATATGCATAAATTCAAAACCATTATGGGATATCAGAAACAAACATCGTGTTTAATCTCCAAGCCATGACCTTGAAGTTGTTTGTTAAACAACAATTTGATCAAGATCAAAAAATCTAATTGCTTGCTTCATAAATTAATCCATTTAACATGATATAAACATACCACTCAGTTGAACAAAATGAAGCAGTAATCGACAAGCCTCCACAAGAATAGAAACATCATCGTTGTTGCTTGCAGTGAAGAAGAAGAGCAACTGGCGAAGAAACTTTGAATCAGAACTGAAACAGTGCCTGATTTGACAGAGGTATTTCAGAATATTATAGATAATACCTCAGATCTTGTAATATCCATTTAAATTCAAAATTCTGAAGCTAAAAAAATAGATAAATACATGCAGATAATCCTTGAAGCATGTGCACCAAAGAAAAGAAAACTCACTTATCTACATTTTGACAACAATCTCCATAAGTTAGACGAAACTGCTTGCGCACATCTGAACGTGCAAGTTCAGCTGCCCTCCTCCCCCTGAAGCATTTCTGCAAATTTATAATAAGTCATGTGCCATATTTTGCGCCAGGAAAAAGGCAAAGATCAGAAGTCTCACTTAGAAGCTCGCAACTGATTGTCTCAAAAGCATAATTGCAAGATAGACAAAAATAGATTCAGCAATTTAACCTCCCAACTAAGTGAAACTATAAAAAAAAATTGCCGAGTAGTTAAACCTTTTCAAAATAAAGAATCGAGTACGATAAAGCAAGGTGGAGTTCCTGTCATGTATATAGATAAATAACCACCATTTACTTCATAGACCCTGTCATAAGAAACTCTGAAATTTCTAGACTATAAAATTTCTAGCACTTCTACTTATACGTAACACATTTTGGCACATCGATGTTTATTCTCCTGCCTCTCTTTTCATCCTTCTATCAGTTTTTCTCTTATTGTCTTAAGGGCCATGCTATAATTTAATAAGTTATGACTTTCATCTTTGCACCTGTGTTTCAAGACCATGTCTCATTGTAAGTAACAAGCTCAGCATTCCAACTTATATTTTTATGACTTATCTTGATTCCCTCCATAGTGTTCTAATAAATAGTCGCCACTAGTTGAAGGAATGTGAATGTGCCAGCCACTTCTAAACCATATCCCTTGGAAATAGCTATTATTCATGCATTTCTAGCTTTCACGCTATTATCCATACCTAAGCAATTTATTGTTAAGATGGTTTATCTTGTAAATAGTTGCATTGGTATCTGTTTCCATATTATTTTTAGTTTCCAATGGGCTAAATTACTAGATTGGTATATTCAATTGATGCTCTTTGCCAGTAACGTCTATTTAGTTGCGTTGGCAACAATAAAGTATCATACTTATTCAATTTTACCATTAAGGTAAAATCTCTCATCCCCGGTGAGCTTTACGTGCCAGAGCCTCATGTGTCCACACGTGATCCATTTCAAACGATTAAAACTGCTAATGAGATAGAGCTTTGATGTGGCAGATGGTTATGCGGGATTCATAATTAACCCTAGAATTCCAAATTGAGACCCAAAAGCCCTCTTTTTTCTCAAAATTTCAGCCTTAATCGGAACCCAAATTTCCCCTACCAACCAAGAACCCTAAATTTCCCCCAAATTCATTTTCAGCCACAATTTGAATTGCAGTTTGAGTTTTAAATGAAATCCAACCGAAAACGCTAAATTATACATGTCATTAGCACTTTGCTAAGTCAGTGGTAAAAAAACCAACTACATTGCATGTGAGGTCACGTGACGATTTGTCGCAAAAAACATCATTGGCGGCGAACTTTAGTACCTTAATGTCAAAAGCAAAAAGATTTTAATAACTTGTTATCGCAGGTGATATACCTTATAGGTAAAGAGTGACAAATAATTATACCAATCTGGTAATTTCTGTTTCCAATGAGAAAATGATATTGACGAGTGCTCATTCTGAATGGGTGTTTTCAAACCATAACATAAGCACAAGACGCGTGTAACAACATTGATTCATCATACGAACTATTTATGTTTAATATCGCGATAAAAATCAATGAATTCAAACAAAATACATCGATCTAGTGACGCAAACCTGGATCTTGATTGCAGCAGAAGTCTGCTGCCTCAATTCTGACCTCCGCTTCCTCTCGAGCCTCGCCTCCTCCAATAGAACCTTCCGGTCTCTCTCCTTCGAGCTCCGGCCCCCTAAATCCACTTTCTTTCGACTCGTCAAATCGCCACTAAAGAACATCCTTAAGAAAAAAACACAGAAAAAACCCTAAATTAGCTCTGAAGTACATCTAAAGGCACAACTTTCTCGAAACTAGGTCATTTTCATCGAAAATCGTCGGAAATTGTGCTCGACGAGTGAAGAAACCATTGAAATGGCGAATCGAACCTGGAAATTTTTCTTCAACTGGATTGATTTGATGAAAGTTATGGTAAAGAGAGAGGATTTCTGGTTGCTAAAGTTTGGAGTTGGCTCTTGTTCGTGAAGCTATTTTATATTTGGGAAGTAAATGGGCTCAGCACTCGTGGTTAGGGAAAATTACGGTGAGGAGGACCTGCTTTTAAGAGAAGGACAAATTTTTAAAAGAGATCCTTTTATGAATTTATTTTTAAAAAACGATCCTTTTATAATTTATTTACCAGTTTCGACCTGGTTGGTTGAAATCAGATCGAAAATGGCAAATAAAGTTAAAAAACTTCACATGATTTAAAATCTCATAAAGTTTAGCGTGGTTAGTCATGTACTAAACTTCACGAGATTTTAAATACCGTGAAGTTTTTGAACTCTATAGCTTCATTAGCTTGGCTAATCATGCACTAAACATCACATGATTAAAAAACTCGTAAAGTTTTTGAACTTTATTTGCCATTTTCTGGCTGAAACTGGGTAGAAAATGGCAAATAAATTTCAAATGAGTCGTTTTTTGAAAATAATTTCCTAAAGTGATCTAGTTTGAAAATTTGTCCTTTAAAGAAACCACTTGGCTAATGTAGGTGCATTCATGGTTAAAAATCTTTACTTTTTTCAGTTTATTTATTTAATATAACTGGATTGCGAAATAGTTTACCGCTATCATAAAATATATTTAACTTTTTGAATGTCTTTATAAATAAAATCTTATTAGTTTAATTTAGTAAAGTTTAGTGGCTTAAATATAGCATTTAAGTAATAAGTCATCCATCTGATAACCAGTTGATAATTTGATTTGTTGATGATAAAATTGATATTGCTTCTATGCCCCGTGCCATACTGTATGAATATATTCTCTTAAAATTTCAATATTAAAATTTCAAGTTATGCTAATAAAAAAAGAACATTCTTTTAAAAGAATGACCCTAAATATTTACAAACACGTAAAAAATTAAGAATAAAAATAGACTTTTATAATATGCTAATCAATAAGGCACTCGAGAAGCATTCCTTATGACAATAATTGAATAATTAATAAGCATACACAAATATAATTAATATATTTGTCTGGTAATAGGTGTAACTGTGACAAATTCTCATTGCATTGAATCTCATCATTTTAGTTCTTGAATTCTTAGTATAAAATCACAATATAGAGGTCGTAATTTTTGGCAAAATTTTCAAAATATTACATTCAAGTTTTAAATAAACGTGAATAGCTATCTGCATTAGGATAAAGATAAGTAACTGAGTACTCAAACAAACCAAGCAAGCAATTGAATGTGACTAATCATGGATCAAAATATTGATTGGATGTACAAAAGTAAAATAGAAGCTCCACTTTAAACATAAAAGACAAATAAAAAAGAGAAGAAAAGAAACAAGAAGCTTGACTTTAAACATAGAAGACAATAAAAAAGAGATGAAAAGAAATCAGAACACAATTCCTCGTGATGTTTTTTCAAGTAGATGTAAAGAACCTCTACAACTCACGAATTACAAATACTCACTCAACAGATCCCATGACTAATATATATAAATTATATAAAAAGTTCTTTTAATCAAATGAAAGAGAAAGTACAAGAAAAGAAAGCAAATAAATTATTGAATTCTCTCCCGTTGCACCCCAATTAACAACTCATGGTACATAATGCGACATTACATATATGCTTCCGAACTTATTAATCAAAGGAGCAAGTCCCATAGAATGAAGTTAGAAGATTGATTATTGGCTAAATGACAATTAAATACCATAAAGTTTCATCATATTGGCATCTAAATTCAATAACTTGTTTCTCGTGACACTTAAATATCATAAGTTGTCCATCATGAAATCATGCTAAAATTGTTAGTTTTTTGGAAAAGAATACAAATACCACTACCTTAATTGATTTTTACCTTAAGTTCTTCTTCTTCCTCCCTCGAATGAGCATCTAATTCTCCCAAATCTCTTTCTCTATCCCTAATAATGTGTTCATTATTAAATAATTTCACCTCTTTCCTCTTTAATTTCGCATAATTCATTCTCAAATTTTCATCCATTATTCTCAATTTCTACTTTAATTATCATTATCAACGCCTTTCTTAGAGTCATCTTTTTAACTTTATAACTTCTTGATCACCATTTGAGCTTAGAGAGGAAAGGACCTATGCTTTCATTCAAAATTGGACATTAGGTTTCAAATTGAAGGAAAGCATAATCTTAAAATAAACTCAATTTGTCATGTGATAGTCACATGGCAAAATTCTATGGGCTTTTCTCACATGTGACTAACATAAGTTATCAACGTAACAAATTTGTGAAACTTATGGTATTTAATTGTCGCAAAAAATAACTTGTGGTTTTTAAGTGACAAAAACAGATCTACCGCGGGTGATCCAGATGGTTTTCCAATATGACTCCCACGGTCTTAGGTTCAACAAGCTAGATTATTTTAAGAATATCAAAATGGGGACTTAAAATGTTTAAGTGCTAACAAAATAAATTATGTTATTTAGGTTCCAAAATGAATTAAAAAAACTTAACTTACCACAACCTCCTTTTTAACATATGAAGTGAAATAGAAAATTTGACTCTAATTCTGCTCTTTAATCACTTCTCAAAATTTATCATGAAATCACATTTTTTTCCCTGGGATAACATTTTAATATTTGATCAAAGATTCTATACTCAGGCTTCCAACACCTCTAACTTAACCAGAAGCACTATTTTTGAGAACTATGCTTTGAGAAATTAAGAAAAGTGGATCAATCAAAAATGACAAAAGAATCAAAGATGAAAGTTTTGAGGGGATGATTTGGACATTTTACGAGGTCAAATTATTATCTAATTGTTTGGTGGAAAATTTGTGAGAAAACAATGAAAGAATTGAATGTTTTATTCTCTCTAACTACTTAGAAAAAGAATGTTTACAACTCTCTCAATCTCGATTACAATTTGAATTTCCTTATTACAAAAGAGAAGAGAATTGATCTGAATTATCCCTTTTTGTTTAATGCTGGGTTCTTCACGGTAGCAATGGAGTGCCTCCCTCGAATATTCGCGTCGAGTTTGCTCTCCGTTAACGATCCGAACGTCTTGATTCACTGGAACGGTATCTCCTCCTCACGATTTGATGCTGTGGAGAACTTGCAAAGCAAGTTTGAAACTCTGAACGAGTTGATAACTCAGAGCGAGTTTAAACTCTTGAAAAAGAGTTGATTTGAACCGAAAAATAGGTTAATAAGCCAAGGGAATGCTCTAAGAACTTTATTGCTGCAGGAATCTCGAAGATGATCTGTTGCCGAGAAGATGATCCGAAGAAGTCGATCTCTAGATCTCTAAGATACTCTAAGATCCCCTAGAAAGCCAGTTGAAGATCTTCTATTTGCTGCCAAAACCCCAGGCCGAAGGATCCGAACTCAGTTGAGTTTACTCCTATTTATAGGGAATTAAGGGGTGTAACCGCCCCCTTAATTCGCTCCTAAACGGGGCTGAATAGGGTGTAACCGCCCCCTTAAAGTGCTCCTAAGTGGGGCTAAATGGGGTGTAACCGCCCCCTTAAAGTGCTCCCTAAATCATGAGGAAAACGATTTTGAAACTGTCCAGTTCGTGCTTTAAACGAGTCAAACACCAGTCTGGGTGTTCTGGGTCCGAACTCTGCGTTTTAGACTTGAAACGCAGAGTTGGGCCTGTTTTTGGCTGAAAACGCCGTGTTCGCACAGCGTTGTAAATCTGAAATGTAGAGTTGGGATGCAGGGATGAACTCCGCATTTTGAGTCCACAAACTCTGCGTTTTAATTGGAGTGCTGGGGATGACCTCTGCGTTTTGACTCTGAAACGCGGGCATGACCTCTGCGTTTTAATGTTGTAACACAGGGATGACCTCTACGTTTTGAGGTTGAAATACAGGGAGGACCTTTGCGTTTTGAGGTTGTAACGCAGGGAGGACCTCTGCGTTTTGATTCTGAGACGCAGAGGCGAGCTCTGCGTCTTGATTTGAAGAGACCATCAATTTATAGCCTCTTTTTACTAGAGTGTTGCGAAGATTGTCACCTTGTAACCTTCGTCTTGGCTCCTTGAAAATATAAGAGTTATCAGATTGTAACTCCCGATGTTGATTGTGAAGGCTGTTGAACTAGAGCTTTCATCAGTTGTTGTAAAGGTCGTTGGATTGTAACCTTCATCGATCTACGTAAAAGTCTTCAAATTGTAGCCTTTTGAAAGCCGTCGAATTGTAACTTTCATCACTGGTGTTTGATGGGGATTAGCTATCTATTGTGATTTTTAGACAGCCTACACTAATGCATTTATTTCCAATGTGCTAATGGGTTTTCTAATTTTAATCAGAAACGGGAAATCTATCAATGTGTTGCCTTTGTCGAAAAAAGTGGAATTTATTCGCCATATTCCTTAAAACTACTTTACATTTGTTATTTAGTAGAAAATTAGTGTAGAAGACTTTTTAAAGAATATCATTTTACATCATCAAATATTAAAATGTAATGAGAGGTAAACACGCGAAATTAATAAAAAAAGAAAAAAAAATCTATAAATTATAACCTTGTGAGAGGAACAAAAGGGAACACCAATGTATAATCTTCTAGGTGATTCGCTTTGTGAGGTCTTGCTTATCAGTAAAGAGTTATTAGTAACATTCGGGGCTCATTGACTAAGAGGATAATTTCTAATACCCATGGCAACCAACCCCCCCCCCCCTGTTAGGTCTCATGTTTATGAGCCTATTGTCTAATCTGGTTTTGATGATTAACAAATAATTTTTCTAACACCACCTCCTAGTATTTGTGTTTGCTTGCTAGGTATCATAGACAAGCGTTCTTATTGGAGGTTGGTTGGACTTGAGCGTTAACGATGACATCCTGTTGGAGGTTGGTTGGAATTGCACTTAACGATGATATTCATGGAGATTGGAAGGAAATCAGAATGAAGCGCGACGCCATTCAATCAAGACACTATCGCTTCATCCCCGCTACCAAGATCGAGCTTAATGAAGATCTTTAACTTGGGTATATTGTTTCTAGTTAGTTTTTTTACTTTATGTGTTTATGCTTAAAGCTCAAACCACACACATACACATTTCGTTTTATCACTTTCAAGTTTAGCCATATAAATATGAAACTA